GTAAAATATTTTCTGACATATGCATATTTACGTACCTTGTTAAAGCAGATACAATTTGGATCGTCTGAACTCTATCTAGTGAAGGGGAGGAGGGGGGGGGGGTGTTAAAAAGTCAAAATACGCGTTTTAATACGAAATTCCTGTTATCGTGTAATGCTTCACCGGAAAGTATTTGTCTTTCGCTCTTTGAATATACCAGTACTAGCTATTTTACTGGGACATTCATGATTACATGATTTAGAAAAGATAAAGTCCTCTTTCGTTGGTCCAAAAAAATATGTCGCTATGAAAAAATAACCTAATTACTAAAAATAGACTACTTTCATTTTATTTTATTTAATGCTAGATCATATTAACCAATATATTTATATATAGAAACATAACACGCACGTGATTTCACTAAAGTCACAGTCATCGAGCGATTTTTCTTATTGTATATTATGCTTGCTCGATTCTCCTTCATTATATGGCGACTTATTGTATGCCAGGTTGATTTCGGCTCATGCCGTCATAATGTTCCGGTTCGATGAATTTCGAGAAATGTTTTTGAAGAAATGTTTTTGAAGAAATGTTTTTGGAGAAATGTTTTGCAAGAATTGTATTTGGAGATTTGTATTTGTAAATTTGTTGTTCGAGATTTGTTTTTCGTTGTATGTCTATGATGAAATGTAAGTGTAGATTATTTTTTGATTTACTAAAATAAATTTTATCTTTATATTTAAATACAATTGAATTAAATAAAAATAGATTTTACAAATCTGATATGACAAAGTTACAAATGTTAATTTTAGTGTACAAATGTCAAATACGGCAACAAATGAAGAAATAAGATTTAAGGGCTATGAATTAAGAACTAAGAATTAAGAACACTGAATAAAAAGCTGTTTGGTTTTCCATACGAAAGAGGTCTTGATCATCTTATAGATTGGTAAAACATTCTGGGGAGCTACGTTGGCTAAGTGAGTAAGACACTGGCTCACTAGCCAGAAGGTCACGGGTTCGATTCCGGAGTTGGCCGAGAAAGTTCATCGGCATTTTTCCCAATAGTACAGAGGACCTGACAATGACAGCTTTCACATTGGCGTGCACGTAAAATATCCCTCTGGCGTTGGAATTCGATATAAGAGTAAACCGTAGCGCTGCTGTCCAGGCAAATACCCCTCATAGCGCACTGTGTTTTGTATGCCCATCTTCATAAGCCCAGTCGGAGCAGAACAGTATAGGAATTAAACCCCATTTCATTTCGATAAAACAATCTGCACATCGCTAAAAACAAGATGGACAACTGTTTTGCTTTTTTGGGACAAACTTTGATGTTTTATCAACGCTGAGTAATAACTTGGATCGCTTGACTGCTCATACTGACTATCGTTTGTTTGGATTTGTTTCATCTGTTTTGTAATATTCTTGAGAATTAATGATAATATTTAGTTTGTCATGGTTTGCAGTTTATTATCATTATCATTACCATTATCATATATCGTAAGGTCCTAATATGTACATGAATAACTAGGGGAGGGGGGGGGTCACGGCCGAATGGTTAGCGCGTGCGCGCTGGTACGCGCTGTATCATGATGCTTGTCATTGAGTCAACTGACGTGATTTTGATTTCCCCGTTTGTACTGCAGGCCCTCCCACTGCTAAAGACCCCTACGCGCAAGCGAATTATTGAAATTGTATAACTACTGTATTAGCACACTAATGGATGGTACATTATTTTTAGTACAGTATTTATTGATAAATGGTTTAAATTTTAATTCAACAATTTATCTAGTAAACAAAGATATCTTGCATCAATAACTATGACGTTTATAGAGTGTCCTAATTGCAGAAGATTTTAATGCAAACAACTTACGTATTCTGTTTTCAAAATCTTACTTTAATTACAAATTCTGATTGCCCCATGATACTGGTTCAATAATGATCAGAAGATTATACTTAAATGGATATGTTCCTTTAGTGGCATTTAGCAATTGCAAACATAACAAAACTATACAGTTATATGGGACAACAATCACTGGTTTATTATACACAAGCACGATGTTTCGATAAGTATTCTCTTATCGTTATCAAGCACAATGACCCTTATCTATTAGTGTATCTCCACATTCGACTCCCCCGAAACAACATAATTTCAAATGCTAGTGCACCTTAAATGGACAAAATTACATATCTGACGCGCACTTTCTTCTGCTTCTCAACGCCTCCCCATGATGGATGTTATTTCAGTCTGATTTGATTATATTTCATTTTATAAGAAAGTAAGGTAGATCTGTTGTTTCAATCTGGGTTGATCGCCTAGATCTGGGACGGTTTAAAAAGCGCCTATGTGGACACTTTTCGACTAATCGAAATATTTTAAACGGATGTTTGTTAAGAACGGTTGTTATTATATTGCTGATTTAATACACAAGTCAGGCAGTTAATATACATTATGGACGAATAAATAACGAGCTGGCAGTTCTCAACATAATAATCAAAAACTAGATAATATAAGGGAATATGCCGAAAATATCAGTCAATTTGCTCCACCCTAAATTGAGATATTAGCCGTGGAATTTTTGGCCTAGCCTCGATCATTATCATCATTACTAAAGTCGGTACGATGCAAAGAGGTCTCGATTATCATATTTGGATTAAAACATCAATGAACGTTGAGCAGAAAAACGGATTAAATTCAGATAAAATCCGACACATCAGGCGACGTCAAAAGTTGATTAAGGTCTGTTCGTGTTAATTAATGCCTGATGGTGTTCAAAGGTGAGCATTTTCTGCTTAGGCGAAGCACATATAAGCAATTTGATTATTTAATGCTTTGGGAAACGATAACTTTAGTTCTAATGAAGTGAGAGTGGTGAAACGTGGTGTGTGGTTTCATTAATTACATGAATACCTTGACTAAATTCCATAATAAGCATGAAACTTAGAGTATAGTTTCATTACCAGGTATTTCAAAACTTTGACTTAAGTTTGATCGTGAATATTTTATGCTTAGACTAAGTATAGATAATCAGTTTGATTGCTCAATACTTTTGGAAAACATAAATGTGCAATTAATTGATATTTGTCATCTATATATTTTGGGATTTCCGCGGGGGACATCAGCCTCACTGTTGCTATTAATATGTAATTGTGCAAATAACGACATAGATATGAGTATACTTGTATTATGTACCATATTTGTCTGATGGCAGTGTGAAAGCGAGAGAAAGAGAGAGAAATGGGGTTTAACGTCCACTAGACACAAACTAGGTCATTTCGGGACTAACACATGGTTTAATTTTATTTCAATAATTCGCTTGCGCGTAGGAGTCTGTAGCAGTGGGAGGAAACCGGAGGACCCGGAGAAAACCCACGAGGTTAGACAGGCGACCCTACTCCTTGTCACGTACAACCGAGGATTCGAAACCACGCAAGTTGACTCAATGACAGGCCTTATGATACAGCGCGCACGTGCTAACCATTCGGCCATCCACCCCCCACCCCCGCGCAGTGTGAAAGCGATAGGCACTAACGGTTAGAAACTGTAGGATTTATACTGAAAGTCACATTTTATACTACACGTAGCAACATCATTCTCAATTATTAATATCGTCGTGATCTATTGATGTTACATTCAGACTATATTACTTGAACGAGATATGCAATCTTCTTTGATTGACATTTAGTAATTGGAACATATTAACACAAGGAACAATTTTATTGATACAGAATTACTGAGTTTAATACTACGCGATGGTTTGCTTGATAGAGACGAGAGTATCCTCGTCGAAACGTCGCATAATATTAAACATAGTAATTGTGTAACCATAAAATTGTTCCTTGTGTGAGATGTACACTCAGGCTCTAGGACAATTAAACAAATAGTTTCCCACTATGAATTTAATTGATTTATGATTGAAAATTGAAAGGATTGGATTGACCCCCACCCCCCGCCCCCACGCACACCTCTACTGAGGGGTTTCAGAATTGGCCTTAAAAAGTAGTCTTCAGACAGGAAGAGTGGGAGGGGGGGGGGGCTACTAATTTCTTCCTTCATTTGGCCTTCAAACCATGTAGAACGAATAGTCCTAGGGGACGAATAGACATAGGGGACGAATTGTCCTAGGATGAATTATCCGAGGATGAATATTCCTAGAGGATTAATCGTGAACGAATAGTCCTCGGGGACGAATTGTCCGAGAACGAGTTGTCAGGGGATAAGTTGTCTGGGGACGAATTATTCCGTACCCGTACAATCATTCATTTTTATGAGTGGTGCGTTTTCATTGGGCCTGTATATGTAATTCCCGACAAAAAAAACATACTATTATACAGGGACGAGGTAGGGCTAAAACACAGATACGAGGCCAAACAAAAAATCCGCTCTTAGAGAACCATCACAACCGGCTCCACTCAAGCTAGTCACATAAACTGGCGCCGCTCTTATACGAATACTGATTACGAACTAGGGAGACAGACCTCATCCGATAAACGAAGACGGCGACATATTTATATTCCATTGACTTTATCTCATTCGCGCTGATAAGCTCCAGGACGGCATCGCAGGACTCCAGCAATATTGGCACGAATACGTACTTGGTTTGCTCCTCATGAAACTAACATTTCATTTTGAACGCTTTCTGTTTGCATCAATAGTTGTTTTAAAAATCAATTTCCAAATACAATTGACACAATGTCCAATTACCGCGCATTTTTGCAAAGATCCACAGATTAAACATGTTTTACAACACAAGATGCACGTTGTATGTAGTTAAGGTGGTGAGACCAACCCTTCTATTGGAGATGCAAATTAACTGGACTACAAGGATAGGCATACGACCTTACACCTTAACACTCGACATGGGTGGCGCGGGTCTTACTGTTTTGGTTTCCGTATATGACCGTCCTGTAATCTGATAATGTAATAACAGAAGGAAACCAAGTTTAGCCATCACAAATACCCCACTTCCAGTGCCGAGAGGGTCATTTAAAATAAACCACTTAATAATGATGTAGTATCAATTTTTTACTTAAATTCTTTATTAATGTATATATTTTGCAATCACGAATCAAATATACAGTGTTTGTCAAAATAACGATATCAATGTGGTCACCAAAATCGACTAAATTTATTATAGAAATAAAAACTTCATAACCACTCCTATGGCACAAGTTCATAAAATGGACAGCAATTAACCATTGGCCAAGCCTTAAATTATGATTAGATTCATGCGAAATTGGCTATTTCGGGACAATGAACCCGAAATTGTTTTTATATATCCATTGATCGTATATCTTCTTACTATTAAAATTCATAACAATTAACGAATAGACAGTTTTGTTAAAGGTTGAAAATACAGTTTTTGTCAAAAAAACGTCCCCACCGATGAACAACAATATTGTTTATTTGATTGAATATAACGACCATTTTTAGTCTCTGAGAAAATCCGAAAAATAAGCAGAGTGTTTCACTCCCTAATAAATATATCCATTTTTACAAGAATGGACATTATAAAATTGTGTAAATACATTTATTTGGGGTTTTCAAATGGATTCCTTAAGAAAGGTAATCTACAATTTACATAATATTTGTAGAGCGAAATCTACATAACGTATTATTTTGGGGCAGTACATCAATATTTTCCAAAGCAATATGTAGATCAAAGCTTTATAATCTAAAGTAAAATATAAACAATATTAGATATAAATTTTATAAAATCAAATTAATGTACAGAATATTTGTACAGTGAAATCTACATAACGTATTATCTAGCAACCAGGCAATCTGTTTCACAGAGGATTACGAAAGTCTTCTAATATCTCTGTAAAATGTGACTGCCTTCAACACGTGACTTCACATCACGCGACGTCAATCATTGGCTCAATGGCGCGTGCATTCTTTACACATGACGTTACTGGTCCGTGCAGAATGCTGCCTTTTAGTCATTTTAATATCCATTTACAATAAATAGGAAATAATTTTTACATCCAAATACTTCAAACGTCTTTATTTCTTTTCCTAATACATAAAGAAATGTTTTAGAATTTAATTTGTCCGAGGAAAAAAGTTAATATTTGTGGCTCATTAAGTCGCATCGATGTCATCCTTATCAGTGATTGTCGCGGCCTAGCGAATATTCACTGGTGATCAGCTTGATTATTTAGGTGCAGTACATCAATATTTCCTAAGCATTGTGTTGATCAAAGGTATTATAAAATAAGGTAAAATATAACAATATTAGATATAAATAAAATAAAATCAAATTAACTTGGCCAAAGGCGAATTAAAAAAAACCATATCAATAATATTCAGCAAATTGAACGCTTATCTTAAATATATAACACTAATAATATCAAATTAAATGGGATTATATATATTCTTTATAGAGGCATTGTGGGGGCTTCTAGGAATAATTAAATAATAAAAACAAAATGTCATGCAATTAATCATCAATAACATCAATATCATGCTCCATTGCAGGTCTTTTGAATGCAGCTAGGAATACAATATGGTATTATTGTCAAAAGTTGGCCATCCCTTCTTCTTGGGTTACACCAATTTACATTTCAATGACCACGGGAGATGAAAGATCATTGCCCAGTGTTTAATCCGCAAATGTTTCACCATATTTAGGAGCACCAGAATTAGTTTCAATTTTTTCCGTTACGTCACTTCCTGCAAAGCAGCCTATCTGAAATTGATGAAGGGTCGTAATGGTGAATTTGCAGTCAGGGTAACGTCAAATCTGTTAAAGGAAAAGGTCACTCAAGCATGTTATTTTGCTAACATGCTCTATTACAATAATATAATGACGGCACCATATTCTGGTATTCAATAATACTCAACCACTCAAAATTTAGATTGACGGTTGTCGTTAGAATGGACTAGCATTAAAGACGACATGCCTAAATGTAAAACGTTAGAGTGTTTAAATAAGACCGGCAAAATCGGAATTGGGCCCACTTTAAAAAAACAAACCCACATCGAATACCAGGGGAAAGGAACGGGGCTATTCTTTGGTTGAGAAATATTGGTACCGGTCAAGGCTGTGTTTGCCAACAGTTAACTGGTTCTTCACTGGATGACGTCACACATTCGGATACCAATTTGTATTTTCGTTATATTGTTGTTTTAGTGGACAAAACATTTTAATTATCAGAAGTGCACATTAAAATGTATTTCCCGGAGAATGTCTTGTTTACATGAATACATGAATCATTCCTTTAAGTAAATCATTACATTGGTTTTACTTAAAATTATGACGTCATTGTGTAGGGATATTATATCCTTTCGACTCTAGCAGATAAACTGCCGACGCAGGGATCAATTACTCAGCTAAGCACAATCCTGTGTGAATTTACATTTCCCTAACGGAGCTCCCTCCAGCTTCTTATATACAGGCCGAGATGGAGACCAAACCTACGACTTTCATCGATAACTGGGCTTATGACCCCCCCCCCCCCACACACACACACACACACCCACACACACACACACTCATCGCCTACTCTTTACACAAAGTTTCTACTTACATTTTCAGACATTGACCTTGAACTTGACGGTCCTGAAAGAAGTCGATGATGTATGGCCAAGCCCCCTCCCACCTGCAAATAAAATTGAATAAATTCCATGTCCGGCCTGGAAGTTGTTACATACCATCAATTATGAATCTTTTTCAATACATTTAAATTGACATTATGATTGTAAATTTGTATGTATTTCGTGCGTTCTGACTATTAAAATATTGTAGAAACATGGTTTGGATTAAAATGCAGTAATTACTTTCCATAGAATTGTTGTATCTATTTGAATATACCGCAACTGCCTTAGTAGAACTGTTGTGTCTACTTTAATATGTCACGCATATTAATGTGTTACTTTAAAAAAAAAGATGGATATATTTTTAATACCTTTTTGTTCAGGCCACAGTGAAAGATGAAAAAAGACAAACCCTATAATACAAAAATACAATAATCATTATTGCTTGTTATGATCATTTAAATTATCATTAGCTTGTTATGACCTTTTAAATTATCATTAGCTTGTTATGATCTTTTAAATTATCATTAGCTTGTTATGATAAAGTACAATTTTTATCATTAGCTTGTTCTGATCATTTAAATTATCATTATCGTGTTATGATATTTTATGATCTTTTAAATTACCATAACTTTATTATTATGGTCTTTTAGAGTACAATAATTACCATTAGCTTGTTATGATATTTAAATTACTCTGATCATAACTATGTTGTTATGGCTGTTAAAAGTGAGAATAACACCTAGACCTATAGGTAGTGTAACATACTTGAATGCAAATAGTCCAAATCATCTCCATTATGCAACAAGAATATTGTGTTCAGCAATTATTGCCAATGATCAGATTAATTATAGTAAGCAGTTACACGGATTAGGGTTGATATTAGTTCTATATCGCCTTGTTTAGGGTTGATATTAATACAGATAGTACTGTAATCATGCACATCCATCACGATTATAATAATATATATTATACCCAACAAACACATAACTCTATCCTGTCAAACAATAAACGCATAGGTGATGTGGACAGAAGAAAAAGGTTTTACAAAATATCGTTATTTGTACAATGTTGGCGCATGTCCATGTTTCTGCAATGGGATAGCATGCCCAAATGTCATCTAAGCACAAGCTGTGTGTTCATTGCAGGAAACAGGTGTGAACTGTTCAGATTTTTTCTCGAATGCACGCCAAATTAGGGGAAGAAGATTTCGGTAGTGGTGGGAATTTAAAGCTACGATGCTCGCAATGACGACAGTGACAAGAAACCAAGACTAAACTAGCCGAATCACCTCCGGGTAGATTAATCGCGTATTTTGTCATACAACACACGAACGTGCATCAGAGCACTATTCCAGGCCTCTGAGATAAGCACCAGCAGTTCCAATCAGTATAAAACCGTCCCCGAAGTAGAAGAAGTCGTATAACAACTGCAGTACAAAGCAAGATCGCTACATGTGGGTTCATTACTTGACGAGAGCCAAGTATGTGAAGGTGTCTGCACCAACAATTCGGAACCGACTTCGAGAAGCTGATTTATAAGCTAACAAACCCTATTTTGGCCCCGTCCTGTTGACCTCGACCTCGACGTTTACGGGTTCACTGATGTATGAATAAACAGGGGTGGAACTTTGGAAACTGGCGACGATTATTGTTAAGCGACAAGTCACGTTTCCATTTACAACCACGAAATGGAAGACAGCATATGTACAGGCGTCGCAATGAAAGTTTTGACAACAACTGCTTTGAGCAAGTTGGCACATTCGGTAGAGGTGTGTCATGATGTTGGAAGCCATCTCCTACACCAGCAGAAGTGAACTTGTTCTCGTACAATGTAACCTAACAGGTGTTTACTTCCGGGATGGAATTCTTAACAGCGACATGCTTCCCATTTTGGATGATTAAGAGCACGTAAAACAGCACGTGTAATAATTGATTTCCTACAGAATGAGAACATTAATTTGCTGTTATAGCCACCAAGATCGCTAGATGTCAACCCCATTGAATATCCTTGGGATAAACTGGACAGACATCTATGTCGGCTTCACCCGGTGTCCCCGACGCTTCCGCAACTGTCACATGCACTGCAGGACGACTGCCACGCCCATGCGTTTCTTTTTTGACATAGTATATCACAACCAGCAAACACACTATACGAAACAACGACGCAAGAGTCACGTTACGCTTAGAGCTTTTTTTCCAGAATTTGTATCAGTATCAACAGTTATATTTCCGGTCCCTCGTCAATTTGTAAACACAAAATAATCATATTTTCGAAACATATATTAATGTTAGAAAACGACATAGCGCATCAATAATAATCACGATTATTTTTATTGAATAATCTTTTAGTATATTGCAAAACGAAATCACTAATTGATTTTGTATTGAACACCCTTTATATTATAAATCTTACCAATATTTTCGGATTGAAATGTCTCAGAATTTCCATCCGGTAGATTTTCCCCAACTAGTTTACTCACTTTGTCCATCGTTTCCATTAAATCTTTGATTATACTGCTATTCTAAATGAGGGAAACAAATTATAGACATTTCGTATATGATAATAAAGTCACCAAATAGTTTTATATATAATATTGTTTGTTTGCAAATACATACATATAAGTATATGCGTATAATACAAACGGGATCAGAACAAATTGTACAATTTACGAATATTATCCAAGTATAATCTAAAATATTTACAATTACCACTGAAATTTAATTTAATACATAGTTATATACATATATACATGCTACCTTAGGATAATAAATAAGTCCATTTCGTTACATGCTCAATGAGTATTAACAGTGATAAACCACTGGAGAATTAGAATAATAGCTACAGATTACATGTGAATCGTTTCGTTTCTTTAATGTAATTTTGTACGGTGAGAAAAATGTGGATATTAAAAGATTTAGGAAATAAGAGTAGAACCATCTAAATAAATTTTATGCAAGTAAGTGATGGCGCTGTAACACATATTGTGAGCAATCAAAGAAGTAGTGAAATGAATTTTCAATGCTTTTATTATCACATTTGCAGTATGGATTTTGAACGATGTTTGATTTATTAAGATCATAATTTAGATAACTACAGGTATGACGTATACGATTATGGTAAATGGATAATTTTCTGCTGCCAATGTTTCTTAATTTTGGAGGTTTGACTTTAGTCTTGATATTGGTTTTAAACTCAGATAAAGATAGAGTGGATTTTAAACCCGGACGTAAACTATTAAATTGTTGAATGGTTTTAGGAAAAAATGAGTTCTTTGTTACAGTTAAACGAACAAGTGGTACTTTTAGATCATTACAGTTTCTAAGATTATAACTATTGCTATGATAACTTATTATGTCTTGAAGATAAGACGGTCCTGTTTTGTGAATAAGCTTATGTAGTAAGCACAATCGTCATATCCTTCTGCGATCATGTAATTTAGTCCATGCAGTCTCAAAATAAAGCGATTCACGAGATGCATAAATAGTGCAACCAGTTACCGTGAGGGCAGCTTTAAGCTGCAATTTTTCTAGTTTTTCTGAGTTATAATTTGAACAGTTATCCTATACTTCGCAGGCATACCAAATAGTTCTAAAAACGTTCAACAAAAATAAAAGAAAATAGCTTAGTCTACTGATGTCTCCGATGGGCATGATCCTTCACAAATACACACCACCGGATTTTTGTTCACATGGAATTTGGTTCCTTTAGATTTTAGGCAAATGGCCTTCAATTGCTGTATGTCTTGTGACTATAATATGTAAATTATAAATATTGTTACCTCGTATTCAAGTGTCTTCATATTTTCAGATTGCTCAGAGTCAAATAATGCGCTGACCAGTATTACTGATTCCTACAAATATGAATACCAATACAACTGAACTCACGATTTGTACAAACAAATAAAATTCCAGTAGAAAGTGAACATATTTATATACTTTGTATCTACCCCACAAATACTCAAATTGATCAATGACCAAGAGGTTAAAATTAGATTTACATTAAATGTTATAATATATAGGCTAATAGTGTAATCACTTACCTTAGCAAAATGTTTAGTTTTATTCTGGGCTGAGGGCAAGTTTTGGGTTGTTTCATTTGTAATTTGTGTCAGGGTTTTCATAGCACTTATCATATGAAGAATTTCGCCCTTCTCTAATTTAGATTGTTTGGTTATTTTGGACAGATTGGCTAGCAACTTATCGGGTTCGGAAACAACAATTCCAGCTTTTACCTGTTCAATCCGAAATAACCCAAATAAATAAACAAAAATGAAATACATTTTGGACGGTCTATTACACTTCATTGCATTTCGGACGGTCTATTACGATTTTTTTTAAACAATATTTATTCAGAAACTGAGGGGATTGGGGAACAGGCAAAGCCCATATAAACCCCTCTCTCGGTTACAAATAAATTACATAATATACAATATATTCAAAAAACAAAGAAGGAAAAAATGAATAGTAATATATATATATATGTACACATAAGCCAATAAAAATATTTGCATATAAACATAAATTTGAAATAATTAAAATCAGCTATTTTGTTAAAATTTAAATCTTTCGGTTTGTTCGATAAAATCATGCACCTGGCTAAATATTGACACGTTTTCGTCGTATGTTAGTTTTTCCGATCAACATAGTAGCACTTTAATGTTTTGCTGTGTCGAAGGTAAAGTGTCGATTGTTCTATGGCGAGCATCTGAATACGAGGAACATATAAGGAGATAGTGATAAGGATCTTCTATTGAATTACTACATGAACATTCGGGAGTATTTGAAATATGTCTTGTAAATTTATGAAAATTTAGATTACTGCAGCCTAGTCTTAGTTTAGTATATGTATAATTTGATTTTTACGTTTGCCAATATAATAAAAGAGAGGTATTTTCGGATCATGTTTAGAGAGTTCTTGTTTAAATTTTGAGAGTGATAAGACATTTGTTATGGACGGATTTAGGCTGTTACGAATTTGATGATTTTGTGATTGAAGATATATAGGGAATTGTGTCATAAGTAACAAATTCCGTTTATATAATTGTCATCTGTCAAAATGTATGTTTCCCTGTCGGATGGTCAATTGCATTATATAGTTTTGTGATTGAAGGTCAATTCCGTTTGTATAAACAGATTATTTTCTTTTACATCGGAATGAGTCTTTCTTGCATCGCATATCCCATCACAATTGTCCAGAATCCCAACTACTATTCAATTTATATCGAGAAAAGCTTAACCCAAGAAAATGATGTAATTAGACAAGAAAAAAACTGTCATGCTGTATTTAGCTCAATACAAGTGGTGAATGTGTGTAATAACGTAACCTGATTCATGATGGTTGTCAATGATGCTTGAATACATGAACTGTAATCTGCCGCCAACCACTTCCCATCGCTAGTACAATATCTAGATACACTACCTATAAAGACAGAACGGAAATGAAAAGTCCTACTGGGCTAATGAAGGTGGGGAAAGTTTGTCAATTAAGATAATATAAGAGAAATAATCGACAGAATATCGTAGCTATATGTCAAATCATCAATGAATTCTATAGAAACCTGATTATAGTACATGAACATATCTCACGGACTACGGTATTCGAAGAAGAGTCAGCGAGTAGCCTTAAGTCTACTATTATTAAGGCATTTCCAAACGAAGAGGCTTAATTTAATTCTAGATTTGGTGTCCCCTGGGGTCGGCCAGTCACATTCCCCTCTTTACTGAACTAGCCCCATACAGCCAAGTCGTGGTGTAACAAACAAACGAATTAAATGGTCGTTGTATTTTCAATTATACTGCGTGAAATATTACCTGCGTATCCCAATGGGCAAGACTGTTCAGCTGTGGCATCTGGTGACGCTTCCGACCAATGGGTTCCTCTTTCATCGGTATCGCGTGGACAGGCTAGCGGTCCTTAAATCATAGAAAAACATTTAAGCTTGTGAAAAGGGCACAAAATAGGCCGAGTTTGTATTTTGGCAAGGAATACGAAAATGTTGTCAAGAGTGCGTCACAAAATATAAATCTAGGTTAGAATCATTTCTTTGTCTTTACATTATTTAAGATTTTCTCATTATTCAATGCAAAAAACCCAGAACATTTAGCTTCTTATTCTATATTTGGTACCTTTAATGATGATTATCTTGGTTGTGTTGCCTTTACCCCGACCGGCTATGTTTGATCCAATACATGTTAAATTGGTATTTCTGGGCACAACCCTGTTCAATTCAGAACCTAAAAAACAGAAATAGAATAAAATATAGTACTATAGACACGACAGGTCAATAAGCCAGATATTACGTTACAGTAGTTCACCAAAGGAAAATGCTACTGTTTTATGGTTATTTTAAACTTTAAAATAAGACAATAAGACACTTAATTTATAAATCACTTTATACTATATATACTTGCCATTTTGTATATTAATCCCATCCGTTACCCACATCAAAGTTGTATATACACCGACTGGTTTTAAAACTTCACACTTTAAGTTGATGCTTATACCACATCTGACATACTGGGTTTTTGGAACACCGACAGTTGGGGGAAAAATAATTGCCAAAGGAATACTCCCAACTTTTCCATAACGACTTAAGTCACTAATATGACATTGTACTGTACCTGAAAATCCACCAGAATTCAAATGCATGTCCTTATAAATGTAAATCTTATTTTAATGTCGGATTTACCAATATCTAGTAATGTGCTTCATTAATCTTTGTTAAATTAAACTGAATTATTTTCAAATGACTTGTGTAATGTTTCATTACCTTGATCTACCACTTCAATATTAATCTTATCGAATGTTTGGTATAATGTCAACCATTTGCGAGTAATATCTACTGATGTGTATAATACTGCAATAACTTGATATACCACGTTTAATATAAATCTTATTTAATGTTTGTAACCATTTTGGTGTGATATTGCTGCAATAACTTGATGATCTTATTACATGTTTGACTTATTAGTTTATATAAATCGCCATGTGATATCTAGCGATGTTAGTAATTATTTCATTACCTTGGTCTATCATTTTAATATTTGTAATTGTTAAATTAGACTGTAATCGCCATGGGAACTCCAATCCGGTCGAGATTTGGAATCTTGATGACAACAAAGGTCGAACAACGGCACCATCTAATGTCCATTCCACAGAAACCGAACCAACTGGCTTTATAACATCAGCCTCACAGAAGATGATAACAGTATCGCCACCCAGGATGTGTTTTGCCTTGTTCAGTATTTTGAGAGTTGGAACAAATATATGACTACCTAAAAGTATACATATATTCAATGTATGGAATGGATTTAACATGAATTTTAACATCATCACTATTACAAAGAACTTGTACTTCATCTTGTGTATGCAAAATACAACATATATTGTATATTATAGTAAATACAACATATATTGTATATTATAGTAAATACAACATATTATAGTAAATACAACATATATTGTATATTATAGTAAATACAACATATATTGTATATTATAGTAAATACAACATATATTGTATATTATAGTAAATACAACATATATTGCATATTATAGTAAATAATGTTAAACACTGGTATCACATTTCCTTTAGGTGAATGCATCGTCCACGTCACATTGTTGTTCGTTCGTTCGCTCCTAGAGTTTTACGTCCACTTCCACCTAAGGTGATATCATAGACAAGTACATTGCTCTTATATTTATTGTTACTTAACTAAATGCTACCTTGTATGTTTTTTTCTGTGTCTAGATGAAACAATTTCGAAGGGCCAAATAATAAACAAACTTGTTTTGAATCGACAATTGTAATGCTATTGACAAACATTGTAAAGACACGCAAAAACATAAATTTGTTTACACAATAGATTTATGGTCAACAAATAACAGATTTTGGGCTTAACATATAATACAGCTATAATTACTTCTGTTATTAAAATGGACTCGCCCACGGAGAATCCCAGAATCACTAAAACTAGCAGGGTGCAGAAGTAACGATTCGGTCTTTTTACAAACGGCTTGGTTAGAACATATGAGGTGAACATCTACCCAAGAATCTTGCCTGAAATGAAAGGAACAAAGCTACATTTGAAATGTGTTAAAGATATTTAATGTGATATAACGCCTAGTCTTCAGTTGATGTGGTAAATTTTGATATCCGAGAAATCGTGATTTTATCATGATAACATATGAAAATTTTCACCGGATTCCAGATACCAAGTTTTATATACTGTGTAAAATATGATGTCTTTCAACCTGGCAATCATAAACTTGTAAATAATATTATATAAATTTGCATAAATAACCAACCTGAACTGTATTATATGCACGCTAACTGATTTATCTACAACTTTACTTATCTGTTGATAGAAGAGGAAAATGAAATAGCTAAATGAAATAGGTAAATATAAGACATGATTTAGAACATTATATAAATACATATTGATCCAAATCTCTGCTATTTAAAACAAAAACTGACATACCATGTCTGTAACATTCTTTACTTGGTTTCTGTATTCCATGGTTGAATTATCTGTTAGTTCTCTTGTCCAAGATATGTACGTAGATTGGAACCACATTAGTCCATAAAAAGCTGTAATCATAGTGATTATATAAATTCAGTGCCTTTTAAATACTTTGGAATCCCATGTCACCTTAATTTATATTAATGCTAAAGATTTCGGCAGTAATTATCGAAGGAAAACAAAAGTTGAACAATCAAATAAACAGTGCTTAGCAGAAAATAGAGATTAAAGATCATGTCTTGTCATGGACCAAATGGAAGGATTCGTCAGATACTCGAAGCTCGTGGCGTTGGGTATGCAGTCAGTTTAAAACTTACCAAATTCTAATTGAAACTTAACATTGACATGTATAGACGGGAACTGAACCATTATCACATTAACAACGATGACTTCTTTTTTAGCCACACTCGTGGTGACGCCATCTTGAATTATACTCACTATACCATCATGAAAGCTCAATTCAAGTCCTGAAATGTTTAATAGAAAATATTAAATGGGAAATCCCAGATATATTGCTATTAAAAATATGTTAATTCCTTGTGGACTGCTCATTACTCTAGCTCTATCTGAATCTGTGATGAAATGAGGTTCTATCTGAATCTGTGATGAAATGAGGTTTAACGTCCTACTGTTCTGCTCCAACGTGGCTAATGAAGACGGACATCCGCCATACAGTGTGCTATGGGGGCAAATCTGTCTAGGCAACGGCGATATCGAATTCCAAATGATACGTGTACGCCAATGTGTACACGGACCTCGGTTTATTGTAACATCCAAACGACTATACGTTGTCCGTTGCAGGCCCTCTTTCCTGGACCACTGACAATCGTTATGCAGATCACAAATTCAACAATAAACATACACATAATATTTCGATCACTTAAAGGGGCATTATGGAAGATTAGATAAAGATCTGGCAGTTCTCACTATAATAGTTAAAAACTAGATAATGTAAAGGGTATTTTCTGAAATTTTCAGTCAAATTGATCAACTCTGAACCGAGATATTAGCTTTTTGAATTCTAGGCCTAGCCTCGATCACCATTACTAAAGTAGGTACGATAAAACATAGTCTCGATTATCCATTTTTGGATTTAATCATCAAATCCAGTAAATATTACAGGCTAGCGATAACATCGAGAGTTGATTATGGTCTGGATAAGTTAATTAATGTCTAATTACTAATTTAGATAACATTTCACGCCTAAAGAAAGACCTGCAATAGGCATATTTAGCTTTTGCATAAGGTCACAATGATCCGCAGTGAATAAAGACAAATTAAATTCTAAAACATTTTTTTTATGTATTAGAAAAATAAATAAAGACGTTTGAACTATTTGTAGGTAAAAATTATTTCCTATTTTAGTGTAAATGGGTATGAAAATGAGTAAAAGGCGCCATTCTGCTCGAATCAGTAACGTCTTATGTAAACAATGCACGCGCCATTGAGCCAATGATTGACGCCGCGTGATATGACGTCATGTGTTGAAGGCAGTCATCTTTTACAGATATATTAGAAGTCTTTCGTAATACTCTGTGAAACATATTGACATAAGGTATGTTTAACAGTACATCATTTACAATTGAACACATATAATGCGTCACGGTGGTGTGTGTGTCATACTGTTTTTAAAAAATCTGAAATCCCTTTAAACACTTTAATAGTACTACCTTGTTGCAGTGCTGTGTGTATGACATCATAACGGACTGAATATCCTCTAGAAACTGCACAATTAATCTGGCCAATTGGAAGAGTTTTAACACTCTGAAGTTCTCCGATATTTACCGCCATCTTGTTAGTTGAAGTGCATTCTAACCTTACTATAACTATCTGTACTGTTACATTTGTTGATAAACTTGGTTTACCATCATCTGACATCTAATTCATAGAAGAACAACACTTCAGCTTGATAATAACATTAATAAACAAACACAGACAACAAAGTTTCGCAACAGCACCTTTTGTGTGTATTGCTAGTGTACTGCGAGATATACCAGAATGTCAACGGTCCTTTACATCATAGGGGCCACAAGGGCTCAGTTGCCTGGAGGTCGAGTGTTCGATCCCTGCATTGGCCGAGAAAGTTCATCCCACTTGTATGCCTTAGGGACCGTTGTCACTAGTCGATCCATGTGGGGCGGCACACGCGTCAAGCGCAGGTAATGGGACCTACAGGTCGATCTATGTGACCCCCTTGTTCTAAAGCAACATCGACACACGTTAAATAATATTGGGCCACACTTCACAGATTCACACTACTGATCCCATTACCTGAAAATCAATGATCGCAGGTGCAAGAGAGAGAGAGAGAGAGAGAGAGACAGAGACAGACAGAGAGAGACAGAGAGAGTATACAGCCCCCACCCCGAACATTTTCCTGCACAAATCCCTGGTTTGAGGTGAAACTAAAATAAAACGGAGAAAGAAGTGGTTCAATGATGAAGGCGCTGATGATGAAACATTAGAAATAAATGATCTCAAATGCAATTGTTTATTTCAAAGTTTTGGACAGAGTAATCAATAGTTTCGGTGATCCTTTCGCTGAATTACATGATCTTGTAACAAATTTCTAGTGTTCGATTCCAAGTCATTACGACGATAATAACGGAACGGGGATCCGACAGAGATTCTGCTATATGATAACTACTCATCATTCATAGAATATTATAATGAATTGTGGTAGAAAACAACCCTATCCAGCTCAGAGATACTCCCTTTATCACCTCAAATAATCTCGATACGGTTCACCCAAGCTGACGGACATTCAGCAGGTTAAAGCTGTTCAAGAACATTTTAAGAAGCACGACGGGTGAAGAGCGTCTGCATGGATTGAACGTGAATTGGCTCACACAAGTGACTTCGGTAATTATTATTGTTGAAGCAGATTGAGATTAAATGCCCCTCTTTCTGAGCCGGTATTCCAATTACGCCACTAATTAGACAATTGCCCCTCATTCCATATCAGGTCAGACAAGTGGAAACCAGGCCTAAAGATTGAATGTCGCCAACAGAATTAGACTGTGTTTTGGCACCCACCCCTACAGTATACATAACATAAAACAGCGTGATATAATAATAAACCTACTTTGACTTGCAATTTTATTCTTTGCATATCATAGTTAGTGCTAATTTTCCTATGGTGCAGATGCAGCTTATTTTTGTTGATGGTTGCAGAAACCAAACTATTCTCTTGGTAATCTGAAACATTTTATCCAAATCATTTTACCAAGAGTTATTAGTAGATCATCGAAGATCGACATTTTCAATGTTTTCGTACACCAAAGTGGTCTTTTGATAATTTGTATCAGGTAAACAAATTATTTAACTAATTTGAACCTTGTAGAAATCACTAAATTGTCCCTTTCCCAGATATTTGACATTGTATGTAAGGCATTTCACATCATCATCCGTTATCCTGAATTAATTATCGATTTTCGCCCAGATCTGCATATCAGATTATGGAAGACTGTTGGTAGGGAACTACCCTAGATATAAAAACCGTTGAATCCAGTTTTCTGCATCTTCTTGCGGGCCTACTGTGTCTGTCCCACTCAATTCCTGGCCTTCAAGTCTTTAGATCTTCAAACATCAGTAGTTTCAATTGTTTTGGTACCAAACCGTCTCGTGATGATCAGTGTCACGTGAACAAATTAATTTGAACCTTATAGACCCAGTGAGTATCTTCGAAGTCAGATTAGTAAACATATGTCAATAGCCACGACAGGAACCCACGAGTCCAAGAAAGTCAGGATCGGGTAAAATTAAGAACAATTCATAAATGGGAAAACTGAAACCATCCTAATACCCAATAAAGAAGTTATAAAAAAAAGTGTACGTTCTGCAGTGTATCGGTACAACTGGGAAATACATACAAATGGGGCGTGGATAGTGTTGCTATATTTGAAAGGGTAATTAATTGTTAAAATGACTTTTATTTGTAAGAGTATAAATCAGGTTTACTTACTAACAGAAGTGAGTGTTATACTACCAGAATCCTGTGCTTGTGATTGCTTTATGACATCGAGTGCGCCAAGTTCAGCAATATTTACAATCCAGTTAATAATTCTATGTGCAACTGTTGGTGGCCGATTAAATGTTATCAATATGTTTAGGATTGCTGTTCTACCCTGTGAAGAATCTTCCTTTGCTATTATGGTAAGCTGTAAAAAGAGATATTTTAATATGAATCGTGGTTTATTATCAAGGTTGTTCATAAAAGACATGTTGTTCTTGACAACTTCAATTAAAGGAGCTAAATCACTAATATTTGGGACCTAGAAATTGACACAAATTGGTCGCAACGCATATAATAATGTAATATATATGTATATAAACTGATTTACGTTCAGTCGTTTCTGTTTTTACTGTAATTACTAAACAGTTATGTTCGCCGAAATAAGCCAGAAGTCGCAATCGAATGGCAATCTCTAGCGTCTGGTTATTCCAGTCTACACCGATAGTATTTATTGCGCATGCTTTCTACAAAAGAATATAGGGTCACTGTTTGACATGACGTCTGGAATATGTCTAGCCTCGTTCTTCGAGTCCCTTGTTCCAAATGGCGCTGAAACGCATTATGGTACGCGATTCATGTACCAATGGTAAAATGTTTATTTTATCTTGATTATTGGATATCAGAAGCCCATCATTACCCGGTAAGATCACAACATCAATGTTGATTTAAACTGACCGAACATTCGTGTTTTTAATGTCGAAGACTTTGGATGGTATTGAGTTAAGAGATTTAGCTACTTTCAAGATACATACATATTAAAATTTACCCCAGCCGCTTGGTACCTCAGATCAAACAATGACTGTGTGTGTGTGTATTAGTGTGGATTTTGAAGGGGAGCCAGATCCGACTGAGGGGACTGTGGGTGTGGGGGGATATTTATATAGGTATTTGTTTGACACTGACTGGGTATAATGATTATGATTATAATGTTTAAAACCACATTGAAAAGACGTAAATATTTCCAAAATCAACAAACCATGAATGAGAGCGTGTCATTGCGTCCGCTCTACCTGGCCCCTGACGTATATTTCCAGTAGATCACAAATCATATCTGGATGGATTACTCCAACATCTATATATATAACACCCATACGTAAATAATACTTACCGGTGCTTTGGCTTCTTGTATCTGGTATAGCGCTGTAAGGCGCAAACATGGCTTCAGTATTTGTTTATTCCTTAAGAGTTTAAACAATTTAAAGAAACCAAATGGATCCTCATTGATGCTAAATATCAAAGCATCGTCGTCGTCAGAACACAGTGAACTGCTATCAAATGAACCAATGTCCATACACAGATTGTCCAAGGATAGGTTGCCAGCTTTTATATAAAATTCAAATTCATGAACCCCTGGTTTGCAATTTGGTGGAGAGCCTACTGAAGTAATAAAACAAATGTTCACAAATGTCAGCCTATCAGATTTCTACGTAAAATAATCCTTGCAAATCAACTAATCCAAAGTTCCATTTTCTACATAAAATAGCGAATAGAAATCGATTCATATTGCTGTTAAAAATGTATTGTAAATTAAAACGGGTTACCGTTCTTGAAATGGAATCCCAGTTTGTTAATCGTTACCTGGTATTTCTTGGGAAATGGTAGAAGATTGTGCAGATGATTCTAGAGTCTTGGTAGTTGCTAACGGACTAGTGGTAGTTTTGGAAGTTTCTGAAGTACAAATGTAAAGGTAATAGTGACTAAAGGAATAAGAATAAATAGTTGATATGATCCTTTGGAGAAATAACTCATTAACCCGTGTTACATAATGGCAGATGTTATTGATAGTTATCGTGCCATCTTGACAGTTGACAGTAGAATTGATTAGAATATCTTTATGTCGGCTATCCCCACTCACTAGTCCTTTGTCTGGCAATCTTGTCAGATCCTTTGTCTAGATGGGGGATATAAGCAAGAATGAAAAAGGCGATAGTTCTGTGAAGGCGAGAGCGTCTGAGTTAAGACCGGACAGGGGCCATGTAAGTTAGTTGGGGACCAAGAGTGTCAAGCCAAGCTAGGATCATGGCTCCCTCAACACAAGCTAATTCTGGAGTCTTTAACTATAAGACGTTTTGTACTTGATATGTGTGAAGAATAATAAAAGTAACGTTTGAAATTAAACCAGTGTTGTCATCATGAACCGACTCAAAGAACCTAAAAGTGTAAGTATATTTTACAGGCTTTGGGAACGTATAGTTGAAAACGTATAGGTACTTGTTTTTAAGTAGCACTGCTTGTTGTTTGTTTGGAAGGAGTAGTGGTTGTTCATGCGGTAGTTGTTGCGGGGGTATGAATGGTTTGACTAACTAGACTAAGTAGTAACTTCTGTCTCTAATTGAGGTACAATGTTCAAACTTGGCGTAGAATGCCCACAGATTATGTATATTGTAACTTAGTTTGGCATTCAACGTGGTTGGGGATGTGACTCATGAAACAAATAGTATACCTATGGAGTATTATAGTAAGCACTTAATCCCCCCAAACCGCCCTCAATACGTACATCTGAATAGTCATTAAACTATTTATTAGCCATTCACATTGCAATTCAATTTATGACCAAAGTTTACGGAGATTAATTTAAGTATTTTAAAATATTTACATACAACAGTACGTTACCTATATTTACATACAACAGTATACTACTGCAGTTTGTTACCTATATTTACATACAACAGTACTACTACTACTACAGTTTGTTACCTATATTTACATACAACAGTGTACTACTACAGTTTGTTACCTATATTTACATACAACAGTGTACTACTACAGTTTGTTACCTATATTAGAAGATTTTTCAGATGTTCAAGACAATGTGAGAAGCTCCTGCTCCCAACAAAACGTATAGTTAACAAAGTAATGTCTTGGACATGGATGACCATAAAGTAAATACAGTAATATAAACTATATTCATATCTCCACAATACTTTTAATATAATCTTACCATTACATATTACAGACACGTCTCTAGTATGAGGACACGAGCTAATATGATAGCTACAGTCAGTAAAATACTCTTCACGTCCATTACATCGTACCCAGGTTACTTTATTCCCACGTCCCTCTCCAAAGTAGGCGCTGTGTTTACTTATTGCTCCTGTCCTAAAAATATTATTATACGTTCAACTATTCATTGTAAACAAAACTACACTGAATTAATATATAACTATATATTCGTGTACTAATTCGCACAAATACAGTAACATTTATTGCAGCAAAAAATGGCAATAATATAATTCAAGCACTGTATTAAGATTGTTGCATATGCTAGAGCGTATATTATTTCACGTTGTATTTTTACCCGCTACATCCTAGTTGTCTGCAAACCACAGATGTAGCATTATCGTACCAATAATAATCACAAACTGTTTTCCATTCTCTTTTATCACGCACCCCCCCCCCCCCCCCGGTGTAAGAAGAATACACCCTTCGTATGTCCTGCGTGTCATGGCATGCGACTAAAAGGATCCATGTAATGGGGCAACGTGTTTGACGTGCGTTGCGACCTGTGTCGGTGGAATCCTGGTCATTGAGCGAGCATTTGTTTCGCGAGGCCTTTCTCTCTGCAACACATTGCCTTGACTCACAATTCACCTAGGCAGGAGGTCAGTGTGGCCGACTCTGATCATTCGGCTTTAGTCGTGTTTAGCTGACGAGTAAGCGCACCCTTCCCATAAATCTGTAATGTATTTGTTGCAGTTCTACCTTTGTGTCCTGAGTGCCTACTCTAAAGTCCAACCTCGTGGGTTTTCTCCGGGTCCTCCCACTGCTAAAGACTCCTACGCGCAAGCGAATTATTGAAATAAAATTGAACCATATGTTAGTCCCGAAATGACCCAGTTTGTGTTGAGTGGACGTTAAACCCCATTTCTCTGCCTCCCTGCTCTAGAAGTCTGTTCTCTTTGACTTCCAATATTTGTTCATTTATGAAATTTAACTTATATATTGGCGCGACTTTGAACTTTCCTTTACCACAGATATCCAGATGATATCAGACTTATATTGTTATTTCTCCTAGACAGAACCGGCGATTGAAATGAACATTATTTTGATTATAAAATTAAACTTGATTGGGTCATACTGGAGTTATTCCCCCTTATTAATGTCGCGCTATTATGTAACTAAGCGACGTTATTGTCTTTTGTATACAGCCCTGAAGACGCCGTACGGCAGAAAGATATTGGCAAATATGTAAATGTAATTTAAATACAGATTTTTCCATTCAAATCTTAGTATTTTGGATAAGGTTTTTAGAAAGAAATAGCTAATTTCATCTTAGCTAGCGCTTTTACCCACTACGGGGATCAGACATTTAATAATGAGATAGTAAACAATTACATGACGTAATGGCGTTATTAATACATAATATTATGTACATGACAATAATAATATCAAATATAAATATTTTAGAATATCAAATACCATATAAAATTATGCAGCATTTAATTTAGGGTGCCGTTCTTTATTTTCTAGCAAATTATTATCCGACCAGTTGAGTTTACATAAGGGAAAACCCTAAATTAACCCTTTCCACATGTATCTAAGTGTTCGCTTAGTGGAATCATTCTGTGTTTGGGATTAGCAATGTGGGATCTGTGTAGGTTCATCCTTATGTTGAGTTGTGATTCAGGTTTGCCTATATACTTTTCATTACAACCTGGACATATCATATATTTTTACTTTTACAGGTCATAGATTGATTTACTTTAAAATTTACATTTTCATTAATTTTTACTGTTTTCCGTTCAATAATGTTGTCACAAGTTTTACATCTATTGTCCCCACACTTTGTGACACTCGATTCTGTGACTTCAGACCCAAATTTTGAAAAAGTAAGTATTCGTCGTAAATTTGGGGGTTGTTTATAAGAATTTATAATCTTTTTGGTATCCCATATTTCAGACATTTTTTACTATTTCTTAATAAATGAGTATGTTTATTTATTACATCACTGGCTATTTCTTGAGTTGGGTTATATGTTGAAACTAATGTTAAGTCTATGTTTTAATCGTATGTCAAGTATTGGTGTGTATCTGTTGGTTTGTAATATAGGTCAGTTTTTAATTCGCCATTATTTGGCACTCTAACTGTTACATCTAAAAAGTTTATAGATTTTTTCTCTTTTCAATAGTGAAGCAAATATATATATATATGATCTTTTATTACCCATCTATTCAATGTAGACAAACCTAAACTAAATAATATTATATAGTTACAAAATAACAATATACGTTGAATTACTATTCTATAGTTAACTATATATTCCTCTACTAATTCACAAAAATAATAACATTTATTACAGCCAAATATGACAATATTTGAATTCAAGCACTTCATCAATTACTGTATTAAGATTGTTTTATTGTATAAAGTGTATATATTATTCCATGTAGTATATTTACCCATTATATCCTAGTTGTCTACAAACAACAGATTCTTCTTTATCGTGCCACCCCACGTCACAAACTGTTTTCCATTCTCTTTTATCAAACACCTCAACTCTTCCTTCATGTGGTCCTGATCCATTTACTAGTCTCAACGGAACAACTAAAATAACCGGTAGACTGACCATTAGATATAATATTACCCAAATCTAACTCAAAATGTCGACTGAGCTCTAAAGAAAACGCAACAGTTATACTTATATGGAAATGTTAATTCTTACTTGAAAATGATTAAGTTCAAAATGTTTTTGTTCTAATACATCGTAGCAATTGGCTCGATAACATTATAATTTCCTTTTGAAAATAAGTCTGGCAGTCGTTATCTTTTAGCATTTATAAATATGACTCAAACATTGTACACGTGTACATGTAGTTTATCATATGTGTACATAACTCGTCACAAACTAGGAATCGTAACGACGCCACTTGACTAAATTACAGACTTTATGATCTAACTCGCCCCAACCCTACACATTACCCAGGTGCACTGTAAAACATTACTGTAAAATAACAGTAACAAAAATGGCTGTTAAATTTTACAGAACGTCTCCGTAAACTAGTTTTACGTCTTGTAAGCAATTTCATAAAAAAAGTGATTCATGTAATTTGGCATAAGAGTTTGAAAAGGGAGTCGAATCATTCATAAACGTCAACATTTACAGTGGTATGTGTCTAATAAAACAGCAAAAAAAATATTAAAATAAAAAAAAATAACTGGTCTCCATATCTTGAGCAGTTATCTCTCTAAAACTGGGAACTATGTTGTCACCCCCTCTCCGTCCGCCCACCCGTCCGTTCACATTGTATTTGTGGGAACTCCACAGGTCACAATTTTAATCCGATTTTGACGAAACTTGGAATATAAGTTTATATCCAACAGATCTCGATATTGGGATGTATCGGACCGTAATTTCATGGGTTATGGTCCCTGATTGTTCGAAAATTCACGTTTTTAGCGTTTAGCCACACATTTTTAGCGTTTAGCCACACGAGATCAGAGGTGTCAATTTTTATCAGATTTTGAAGAAACTTAAAACGTATGTTGCGCATAACGGACCGCCACTTCCAGGGTTATTTAGCCTGTGAACTCTCTAGATGTCACAATTTTTATTTGATTTTAATAACCATTAAAATATATAACCGTTGCACCATAATGAAGGTTTAGCTTGAATTTCGTGAAAATCTGGCCCTCACTGTCTGACAAAATGACCGCTCTCCGTGTAAGCTTGTGGACTTTCTTGACATGTTAAAATATATGTATATATCCCAACGATCTCGGCGGTTACTTAAAGGGGAAGACCAAGGATTTTCAACAAGGTTTCCATAAATCTTAAATATATATTGATAATTAATCCCCTCTGTAAAACCAGCAAAAAAGTTTTCGTAAGCGAGAAATTAATTTTTATTAAACAGGAAGTGGTGTAGTTGGTTCAACACGCTCACTGGTCTCTGTAGTAAGCATACAGATTTGACATAAGTTTGCTGGCTGTATTTTGTCCATGCGTCGTCTTTTGGCCAAAATTCTGATCAAATGGGCTGTATATAGGATATTATAAACATCACGTGGATTCTATATAAATACATATTTAAGATTTATGGAAACCTTGATGAAAATCGTTGGTCCTCCCCTTTAAAGGCCAGGTTAATAAACGACGAAAGCAGATCTAAAATATCAAAAATAATAAACTAAACCGCTTTGATGTATTTCAAAATGAAGTGTTGATTTAGACTGATTGGTTTGTATTATTGGCTATTATTAAATCTTATCGATCGCGTATACTTAAGAATAAGGTCATCGATATCATCCGTTTTGGAAATAATCTTACTTTGCCACAGTTTTGTAATTTCTTTAGTTTAAATTAAAGATATACAAACAGAGTGTTAAAATATTTTATAACTTACGAGCGTAGATGTCCTCTGAGAATGACTAGTGACATTTTAAAACCTAAATGTAATCCAATGATTTGTGTTATAGACTTACATTTACATACGACCGAGAAGTCCGGTGTGCAACCGCATTCTCCGAATCTAAATGCTGGATGTTTGCAAGCACTTAGAGATAACTCATTTCCTTTACAATTAATATTAGATACCAGAACAGGGCCTGACCCTTTACCAAAATCAACATTAATATCAGGATCACCACCATCACTGTTAAATAGAAAGATGATACACAAAGTAGAGATTCACAAATCAACATTATTATCAGGATCACCGACATAGCTATTAAATAGAAAGTTGATACAGACGGTAGAGATTATAAATTCAACATTAATATCAGGGTCGCTATATCAGGATTAACATCTTCATTGCTATTAAATAGAAAGATAATACACACATTGGCACGATGTATATCATTACAGTTTCGTTCCGAAAGATTCAGTAGACTGTCAACTGATGAACACGCAATCAATGCCCCACATTGGTTTAATCTACTGACTTTTCACCGATATAACAAACCAACACATAAAATCAATTGATCCTGATCAATGCCGAGAATATAATTAACGAATTGATTTGGGTGAATTTGACTAAAGACGTTGTGTTAAAATTATCGTTATCTGTTATACAGAATTGGAATACATTACGGATTCATACTTGTTAAATCCTAAATTACGGCACGCTACACGAGCTTCTTCTTGTCCAAAACCATCACGGCAAACTCCTTTAAATGAACCGTTGTGCCATACCATCACTCGTCCTTCCATAGCATTGGAGCCTCCTATCAATGTAACATCTGTTGACAAAATATAAGTTAATATGGTTATCAAGGACCGCCCGAGCTTAGAAAGGCTTTCTCCACCGACTGGCTAATGACGACGGGCAAAAGCCATACAGTGTGACATGTCAGGGAAATTGGTGCCTCTGCCTATTCTTATTTGAATTTCAATTGTCAAGGGCGTTCTTCATGCACGTCCCATGCGAACAACTAGATACTGCCCTGTCAGGTCGTCCATCAAGGTACTGCTGACATGGGGACAACTACGACGGTAAAATCTCTAGGAGCTTTCTCGGCCAACATCAAGAGAGAACCCGGAACCTCCAGGTTACCAAGGCAGCGTCTTACTCACCGAGTTATTTAATCATATATAATTATATTTATTATATATATATATATTTACTAAAGTGGGGCTCGATAACTGCGATTCTATTTGAGTGAGAAACTTAGTGGGTGCTTTCATTTCACCAATAAAATGGTGAAATTGGAACGTGTGTGTGTGTGTGTGGTGTGTGTGTGGGTGTGTCAGTGGGTGTTGATTAGGTGAATGCCTTGACGGACTCTTACGATGAACAGTAGATTGGTTGAAACACTGAAATAAGAAAAGTTTGATTCTATAGGATGCAGGGGTTACATAAAGATTTTGTTGGGGGGAGGGGGGTGTTAAGGAAAAGACTGATGCACATGTCCCTAATACGAGTGACGCAGTCAGGGACCAAGCACCACAGATGACAGTTTTCTAGGAGTTAATAGAAAAGCTGGGAATAGGGGGTGGGTGGAGCGGGGTGGTTCCAAATCCAGGGCGCAATCCACAAACACACCCCACAATGAATGTCAACAACATATTGGTTATAACACTGGGCTTCCCGGTAGAACACAGATCGTATTGCCTATATAGTTGTTCGCGAATCGTTTTATTCAAGTTGACATAGAGTTTATGTCATATAATAATGATGATTGTTATTGATTTTGTTAATAAATTTATGTGAACCTTAGGGGCAGTGGCTCTAACACTGGGCAACATGGGAAAAATTAAACCAATATCTGGCATTTGAGGTCATTGCTGGGAGCAAATTCTTGTGAACGAGAGAACCAGAAATGGGAGTCAATGGGACAGAATCTCGAAATCTGCCCCTGTCAATTCCGCCTGTTTTGCAAGAGTTGTCACAACATTTGTACAGTCTGACGCCCCACGACCCACGCACCAGTGGTACTGCGAACTGGGCATTTCACTATAAGCGTGAAGGTTTGGTGGCTGAATGGTTAGCGTGCGCGCGCTGTATCAGAAAATCTGTCATTAAGTCAACTGGCGTGGTTTCGAATCCCCGGTTGTACGTGACAAGAGTAGGGTCGCCTGTCCAACCTCGTGGGTTTTCGCCGGATCCTCCGGTTTCCTCCCACTGCTAAAGACCCCTACGCGCAAGCGAATTATTGAAATAAGATTAAACCATATGTTAGTCCCGAAATGACCTAGTTTGTGTCGAGTGGACGTTAAACCCCATTTCTCTCTCTCTATAAGCGTGAAAATGATAGTGCTAAGACCACAGGAGTGAAAAAATTATGTCATAATAGAATCTAGGGGCGCAGACCCGAAACAATTTCAGATATGTAACTGACCTTTTAATTTTTGGGGACTGGGCCTGAAAAATTTTAATCAATGTCATGACAAATGGGACCAAATTCTCCTTCACGAGGGGATAAGTTATGGAACAGAATCTTGAGCCCCGTCCGTCCATTTCGCCTGTGTTTTTTTTAGAGTAGAAATAACAATTCTACAGTCTGTCGCCCCACTCACTAGTGGTACTACTAACTGGGCGATTCACTGTTACTGTGAATATGATAGTGATGAGATTGTATAAGACAGAGGAGTTGAAGAATAATGACATAATAGATTATGTAACTGAACTTTTAATTTTTTGGGACTGGGCCTGAGGGGACTTTGTCTCAAGGGGGCGCTTACTTGGTCTCTAAATGCCATTTACTGGACTTTGGGGTCTAGGGAAAGGTTTTGCAGAATTCCGATGGTTAGGAAATACTTACAACATGAGTAAAATACGTTTTAATTTCTAATGGGATTAAATAAGCAACAAGAAAAAATTCTTAAGTTCAAAAGATCGCCTTTACATTTCATAATTTAAAGATTTTTTACGTATTTCTGAAACAAACTATGCTTCCGATAACTTCGTACCATTTGTTCGACTATTGTTATTGGTATGACAATCAATAATACAGGCTCTCTCAATTTCTAATACTAACATTTTTTATTTTTCAAACATGACAAGTTGACTAGGTTATTTTATACTATACCGTTGCAATTTAGGTGCACGGATTCACACAAAATTTTTCCCTTTATTTTGGCATTGTTTACCTCATTAATTCATTTAATCTGAGACAGACTGCAGTGAGCACTTATTTTGAGACCTACTATGTGACGTAAGAAATTTAGGTGTACGTATATTAAACATACATTATGCAAGAGCTAAATCTGCCTATTGCCTTTTACCCCAGAAATGTTATATAAACTATTAATTAGACATTTTTTTAACAAAACAAGAAAATAATCGACTCTCGATGGCATCGGATACTCGGGATATTAACTAGATTAAAAGGTTTCGCAATTTATAAAATTAATTTAAAAATGGAAAAGCGAGGCTAAGTCCCGATTATACCAGTGCCCTGGTTACCACTGTGAACACATCTTGTCATAACTACAAACACTGATAACTTGGCTGAAAATGAAGTAATTTGACTGAAATTTTCAATATTTTCTTTTTTTCATCATCTATTTTTGAATTATTATAGCAAGAATGACCAACCCTTTATTAAACTCACAAAAGAATAAGGGTAAAAAAAACCATTTCTTCAAACATGATAAGTTGACAAGGTTTTTTTATACTAAAGATTTTGGGTGAGTAGAGTGACGTATGCAATTTAGGTGCACGGATGCACGCAAATACATAAAATTTGTTACCTATATTTACATACAACTGAACTACTAGTTTGTTACCTATATTTACATACAACCGTGCACTACTACAGTTTGTTACCTATATTTACATACAACAGTATATTACTACAGTTTGTTACCTATATGAGAATATTTTTAGATGTTCTAGACAATGTGAGAAGAAGCTGTTTCGTACATAACGTGTAAGTTAATTGAAGCAATGCCTTGGATATGGATCACCGAAATGTGAATCATTATTATAAACTATACTTTAATATAATCTTACCATTACATATTACAGACGCGTCTCCAGTATGAGAACACCCGCCAACAGAATAACGACTATATCTACATTCAGTTAAATACTCTTCACGTCCAGTACAGTATACCCAGGCTACTATATTCCCACGTCCCTCTCCAAAGTAGGCTCTGTGTTTACTTATTGCTCCTGTCCTAAAAATATAAAAATATTATTATACGTTCAACTATTCAATGCAAACAAAACTACACTGAATTAATACATAACTATATATTCGTGTACTAATTCGCACAAATACAATAACATTTATTACAGCCAAATATGGCAATATTTTAATTCAAGTACAGCACCAGATACTCTATTAAGATTGTTTTATTGTATAAAGTGTATATATTATTCCGCGTCGTATATTTACCCACTATATCCTAGTTGTCTACAAACAACAGATGCTCCTTTATCGTCCCAGAATCTGTCACAAACTGTTTTCCATTCTCTTCTATCAAACACCTCAACTCTTCCTTCATGTGATCCTGATCCATTTACTAGTCGCAACGTAACAACTGAAATAACCGGTTGACTGACTGTCAGAGAACATATTGCCAAAATCTAACTAAAAATATCGACGGAGGGCTAAGGAAAACACAAATGGGTTATTCCAATATTAATTCTTACTTGAACATGATTTTTTTCAAAACTTTTCTACGGTAACTTTATAATTTCCCTTTGTAAATAAGTCTGAAAGTCAATATCGTCTATTATACGGATACATAACTCGACACAAACTAGGAATACCCTACACATAACCCAGGTGTGTAACTACTGACTGATTAATGTACAATGTATCATGTATGTTATTTGATCTCTCCGTTTTTTCATCTTATCCAAACAGATTCGTTAAGATTGAAATCCGGACTTCATATAGGCCACGTTACTAAATGACGAAGAACGATCATAGATATCAAAAATTATAAACTAAAACCCCTTTCGTGTATGTTAAAATGCAGGGGCTATTAACAAATTGTCTCGATCGTTTAATTATTTTTTCTGAACAAGGTCATCGACTTCATGTGTATGTAGTGATCAATCTAACTTTACCACGAGTCTTGTAATATCTTTAGTTTAAATTAAAGGACCGATATACAAACATATTGTTAATATATGTCCTGTAAGAATGACTGGTTACTGTTTCTATAGACTTACATTTACAAACGACCGAGGCATCAGGTGCACTACTGCATTCTCCGATTCTAAAATCTGGATGTTTGCAGTTGGATAAAGATGACTCATTTCCTTTACAATTAAAATTAGATACCAGAGCAGGGCCTGACCCTTTACCAAAATCAACATTAATATCAGGATCACCACCATCACTGTTAAATAGAAAGATGATACACAAAGTAGAGATTCACAAATCAACATTATTATCAGGATCACCGACATAGCTATTAAATAGAAAGTTGATACAGACGGTAGAGATTATAAATTCAACATTAATATCAGGGTCGCTATATCAGGATTAACATCTTCATTGCTATTAAATAGAAAGATAATACACACATTGGCACGATGTATATCATTACAGTTTCGTTCCGAAAGATTCAGTAGACTGTCAACTGATGAACACGCAATCAATGCCCCACATTGGTTTAATCTATTGACTTTTCACCGATATAACATACTAACACATAAAATCAATTGATCCTGATCAATGCCGAGAATATAATTAACGAATTGATTTGGGTGAATTTGACTAAAGACGTGTTAAAATTATCGTTATCTGATATACAGAATTGGAATACATTACGGGTTCATACTTGTTAAATCCTAAATTACGGCACGCTACACGAGCTTCTTCTTGTCCAAAACCATCACGGCAAACTCCTTTAAATGAACCGTTGCGCCATACCATCACTCGTCCTTCCATAGCATTGGAGCCTCCTACCAATGTAACATCTGTTGACAAAATATAAGTTAATATGGTTATCAAGGACCGCCCGAGCTTAGAAATGCTTTCTCCACCGACTGGCTAATGACGACGGGCAAAAGCCATACAGTGTGTCATGTCAGGGAAATTGGTGCCTCTGCCTATTCTTATTTGAATTTCAATTGTCAAGGGCGTTCTTCATGCACGTCCCATGCGAACAACTAGATACTGCCCTGTCAGGTCGTCCATCAAGGTACTGCTGACATGGGGACAACTACGACGGTAAAATCTCTAGGAGCTTTCTCGGCCAACATCAAGAGAGAACCCGGAACCTCCAGGTTACCAAGCCAGCGTCTTACTCACCGAGTTATTTAATCATATATAATTATATTTATTATATATATATATATTTACTAAAGTGGGGCTCGATAACTGCGATTCTATTTGAGTGAGAAACTTAGTGGGTGCTTTCATTTCACCAATAAAATGGTGAAATTGGAACGTGTGTGTGTGTGTGTGTGTGTATGGTGTGTGTGTGGGTGTGTCAGTGTGTGTTGGTTAGGTGAATGCCTTGACGGACTCTTACGATGAACAGTAGATTGGTTGAAACACTGAAATAAGAAAAGTTTGATTCTATAGGATGCAGGGGTTACATAAAGATTTTGTTGGGGGGAGGGGGTGTTAAGGGAAAATGCGACCGACTGATGCACAGGGGCCACGCACCACAGATGACAGTTTTCTAGGAGTTGATAGCTGATCTGGAAGCTGGGAATAGGGGGTGGGTGGAGCGGGGCGGTTCCAAATCCAGGGCGCAATCCACAAACACCCCCATAATGAATGTCAACAACATACTGGCTATAACACTGGGCGTCCCGGTAGAACACAGATCGTATTGCCTATATAGTTGTTCGCCAATCGTTTTATTCAAGTTGACATAAAGTTTATGTCATATAATATGATGATTGTTATTGATTTTGTTATTAAATTTATGCGAACCTTAGGGGCAGTGGCTATAACACTGGGCAACATGGGAAAAATTAAATCAATATCCTGGCATTTGCTGGGAGCAAATTCTTGTAAACAAGAGAACCAGAAATAGGAGTCAATGGGACAGAATCTCGAAATCTGCCCCTGTTAATTCCGCCTGTTTTCCAGAGTTGTCAAAACATTTGTACAGTCTGACGCCCCACGACCCACGCACCAGTGGTACTGCGAACTGGGCATTTCACTATAAGCGTGAAGGTTGGGTGGCTGAATGGTTAGCGTGCGCGCGCTGTATCAGAAAATCTGTCATTAAGTGGACTGGCGTGGTTTCGAATCCCCGGTTGTACGTGACAAGGAGTAGGGTCGCCTGTCCAACCTCGTGGGTTTTCTCCGGGTCCTCCGGTTTCCCCCCACTGCTAAAGACCCCTACACGCAAGCGAATTATTGAAATAAAAATTAAACCTAGTTTGTGTCGAGTGGACGTTAAACCCCATTTCTCTCTCTCTCTCTATAAGCGTGAAAATGATAGTGCTAAGACCACGGGAGTGAAAAATTTATGTCATAATAGAATCTAGGGGCGCAGGCCCGAAACAATTTCAGATATGTAACTGACCTTTTAATTTTGGGGGACTGGGCCTGAAAAATTTTAGTCAATGTCATGACAAATGGGACCAAATTCTCCTTAACGAGAGGATAAGAAATGGGTCAGAATCTTGAGCCCCGTCCGTCCATTTCGCTTGGGATTTTTTAGAGTAGAAATAACAATTCTACAGTCTGTCGCCCCACTCACTGGTGGTGCTACTAACTGGGCGATTCACTGTTACTGTGAATATGATAGTGATGAGATTGTATAAGACAGAGGAGTTGAAGAATAATGACATAATAGATTATGTAAGTGAGCTTTTAATTTTTTGGGACTGGACCTGAGGGGACTTTGTCTCAAGGGGGCGCTTACTTGGTCTCTAAATGGCATTTACTGGACTTTGGGGTCTAGGGAAAGGTTTTTCAGAATTCCGATGGTCAGAAAATACTTACAACATGAGTAAAATACGTTTTAATTTCTACTGGGATTAAATAAGCAACAAGTAAAAATTAGTCCGGGAGCTAGGTAGGTTTTGTTCAACATGGAGGTGCGGAAGGTTTGGCATGCTAGTGATGTATGGCTGGGTTAGGAGACCCCAGAAACCCAATTCTTAAGTTGCGCCAGTGGTGGGTGTGGTAGGAGGAGCCACCCATAGTACCCCCCAAAATGGGTTTATTCAACATGGAAGGTGCAAGTTCCACTTGAATGGCATTTGATAGAGGAATGTGCCCTGAATTAGGAAATATAACTTAAGAATGGGATTTTTGGTGGAAAGGCCACTTAAGAAGAGGTCAAAGGTCATTAATTAGCAATTTTTCAATTTTACTGAAAACGATTTTTCCATTGTCTTGTGATCTATTCCAAGTATGTTGCACAAAACTACATGGACATTTTTGATAGTGCTAGGAGCAAAAATATGAGACATAAAATTAATGAAGTTTTAGCTAAAAGTATGACATAATCTCAAAAATAACGAAAATATCACTTGACCCCCATCGGTAATTAAAATTTTAATCAACATGGAAGGTGCAAGTGAGAAACCAAGCCTAAATTGTACGGAATGATATCAGAAATCATTATCATTAACTTAAGAATGAAACTTCTGGTGGTCAGTGTACTTTAGAAGAGAATAATGCTGGTTTGCACCGAATGACCCCTAATTAGAAATTTAATTAACATGAAAGGTGCGACATTGGAACAAGGTGTAAAATGTAGGGAATGATCATATGATTCACAAACACTAACTTAAGAATGAATATTTAGGTGGTAAATGAACTTAAGAACAGCAGATGTGACCAATAACCTTCAAAAATCAGTGACAAGCCGTGCAATATGCCAACAATGCTATGGTTCCTCTTGATCTCTGATAATAACACTGATACATTAATTACCGCCCACTTCCTTCATATTAAAGGAGCTAAATCGCTAACATTTGGGACCTAGAAATTGACAAAAGTGGGTCGCAACGCACATAATAATGTAATATGAATGTATATAAACTGGTTTACATTCAATGGTTTCCGTTTTTACTCCAATTTCAAATCAGTTATGTTCGGCGAAATAGGTCAGCAGTCTCAAGCGAGTGAAAATTTCTAGCGTCTGGTTATTCCAGTCTACATACGCCGTTTGATTTGGTGCAATATGTCTAGCCTCGTCCCTCGAGTCTCTTGATACAACTGGGGCTGAAGCGCATTATGGGACACGATTCGTGTACCAATGGTAAAATGTTTATTTTGTCTTAAATATTGGATATCAAAAGCCCATCTTTTTCCGGTAAGATCACAACATGAATGTTGATTTAATTTGACAAAAAAATCGTGTTTTCAATGTTGAAGATTTTGGATGATATTGAGTTAGAGACTTAGCTACTTTAAGAGAGAGAGAGAGAGAAATGGAGTTTAACGTCCACTCGACACAAACTAGGTCATTTCGGGACTAACATATGGTTTAATTTTATTTCAATAATTCGCTTGCGCGTAGGGGTCTTTAACAGTGGGAGGAAACCGGAGGACCCGGAGAAAACCCACGAGGTTGGACAGGCGACCCTACTCCTTGTCACGTACAACCGGGGATTCGAAACCACGCCAGTTGACTCAATGACAGACTTTATGATACAGCGTGCACACGCTAACCATTCAGCCATCCGACCCCCCTTTCATATTAAGAGTCGTTTAAAACATAGATCTATGTCATGTTATTGCAGATATCAATCAAGACCTAATCAACCAGAACCTAACTTAGGAAAGGCAACTGTCTTCATCAGAGGAAGCAGTGTCAAAGTCATCATCAATGTCTTTCAACAAATGACTCCCGGAATTCAGGACCATTAAAACGCATGATTTCATTCTGTCTTCTTCTCTCAACTATCGTCTGGCGATGGGTACTGGGTAATTCCTGATTTATCAGCGCTTTCCGACATCTTTGCGACAAAAGATGCCCCTTTTGATGTATAGTGACACTTCTGATTCGCAAGGAGGACTCCTGCTATCATCGATGCCCTTTCGTTTCTCCAGAAGATTTTTACATCTTGCCTTTGGCCCATTGCGTCTTCTCAAACACGATGTAGCGATATCATTCACCGTGCAGATGTATGGGGCTAAGCGACAAGCAGTCTCCTTACTCAACAGGCATCGCTACACCGTGTTTGGGAAGACGTAATAGGTCTAAGGCAAGTTGTAAAATCTTCTGGAGAAACTGAAAATGGCATCAATGGTAGTATGATTCCTCCCTGCAAATCAAAAGTGTCACTACAGATGACAAGGGCATTTTTGGTCGCAAAGATATAGGGAAACGCTGACAAATCAGGAATTAACCAGCACCCATCGCCAGAAAATGGTTGGGAGTTTAAGGAAAGACAGTACGAAATCTTATGGTTTAATGGTCCTGAACTTATGAGTCATTGGTTGAGGAAGACATTGAGGAATAAGGAATCTGCTCATGCTTCCTCTGATGAAGACAGTTGCTTTTCCTAAGTTAGGTTTGGGTTGATTGGGTCTTGATTGATATCTGCAATAACATGACATAGATCTATGTTTTAAACGACTCTTAGTATGAAGGAAGTGGGCGGTAATTAATGTATCAGTGTTGACACTGATTTTTTTAAGATTATTGGTCACATCTGCTGTTCTTAAGTTCATTTACCCCCTAAATATTCATTCTTAAGTTAGTGGTTGTGAATCCTATGATCATTCCCTACATTTTACATCTTGTTCCAATGTCGCACCTTTCACGTTAATTAAATTTCTAATTAGGGGTCATTCGGTGCAAACCAGCATTATTCTGTTCTTCTAAAGTACACTGACCACCAGAAGTTTCATTCTTAAGTTAATGATAATGATTTCTGATATCATTCCGTACAATTTAGGCTTGGTTTCTCATTCGCACCTTTCATGTTGATTAAAATTTTAATTACCGATGGGGGTCAAGTGATATTTTCGTTATTTTTGAAATTATGTCATACTTTTAGCTAAAACTTCATTAATTTTATGTCTCATATTTTTGCTCCTAGCACTATCAAAAATGTCCATGTAGTTTTGTGCAATATACTTGGAATAGATCACGAGATAATGGAAAAATCGTTTTCAGTAAAATCGAAAAATAGCTAATTAGTGGCCTTTGACCTCTTCTTAAGTGGCCTTTCCACCAAAAATTTCATTCTTAAGTTATATTTCCTAATTCATGGCACATTGTGTATATATAATCCTAACTTATAATTAAGTTTGGTATTCCACGAGGCTTGGGGATGTGGCTCA